AGAGAGACAGATGCAGAGGACAGTGGCATGGCTAGAGAAGCAAGAAGGGGGCAGTCTTGCTTTTTTATAAACAAATTGCTCTGGGGAAGCTAACCCACTCTTGTGAGACCCAACCCAGTCCAGGAGACCAGCGTTAACCCCTGAGTATAGTCACAACCCAATCAATTCCCATTAGCTCCCACCTTTTAATGGCCACACCATCCTGCACATCGTTGCATTCACAATCAAACCTCTAGCTCAGGAATATTTGGGAGACAAACCATATCCAAACCATGGCTTCTGTTAGCCTGGGGCCTTGAATGACTGTGTGCAACAGAGCCCTTTGTATTGCTTTGCATTTGACATGTGGTGTGATAAGACTTTATATTTAAGTCATTAAGGACCTGGGATTGATTACCACTGTGCAAATGTGTAACTGGCTTCATTTATTTCCCAGGTAGATTGTCTTTTTCTTAGTGATGTGTAGATCTTTCTTTATTAAGGACATTGACATTTTGTTGGCTATAATTTTCTCTCCCTACTGTAATTGTATTTCCAGTGTATTCTGCTACTGAGAACTTAAAAGTTTTATATAGCTAAGCTCATACATTTTCTTTCATAGCTTCTCTTTTTTGTCTTCCCACACAGAAAGGACCTCCCTTTGCTAAGATTGTAGTTTTCCCAATACCATTTATCGAATAAGCTATCATTTTCCCAGTAAGAAGGGAAAGAAAAAAGCTACCTTTAACAGGTAAATCCAACCTATATATCTACATTTGTTTCTGGAGTCTTAATTTTTTTTTGTCTTTATCACACTGTTTTACTTTTTTTCTGCTTTTTAACAAGTTTTTGATAGTGATAGAATCAATTCCTCTACATTATTGTATTTCAAAATATTCTTGATATTCATGCATGTTTCACTCTTCTAGATACATGGTGCTGCCCACCTGTCAAGTCCAGAAAAGAAACGGGTGGGATTCTAATGAAAATTGTACAACTGCATACGTCACTGCGGGGAGTGCTGAGCTCTTTCCCTGCTGTTTCCCAGCAAAGGACATGCTGTGTCTCTGCTGGGTCTGTTCACATTCCATTACACTTCTGGAGTGTTTTCTTGCATATTTCTTGTTAAATTTATTTCTAGGCACTTCATAACATGTGTTGCTATTGCAAGTATATTTTCTTTTTATAATTGGCTATTACAATTTTATGACTCTATATTTAACTAGTAAAACAGCATAAATGAACTTCAAAGACCTGTCTGGGGACACAATTTAAGCAATTCCTGTTGAATAACTATGCAGAACTTAGTTGGGAGAGTTATTATACATAATTGTCTCAAAGATGCAAAAGTAAACAAGCAGACAAAGTCTCTTTGTCATGCACCAGCCTAGGCCTTGTCATAGCATCTCTACCTAGAACTCATAGCTAATTCTGCTTTGCTGTTAGGCCATTTGGCCCTGAAAATCCTTCTCAGGACTAACTATATGCTTTTTAAAAATATCACATTTCATTATCTCTAGTAAGCTCCTGGTTTTTATTCCTTCTGAGAAACTGCTCTGTATTTTTTTAAATCTTGCAGATATATATATTATATATATAATATATATGTATGTATATATACATATATATGTTTGTATCATATATCTTATATATCCCATAGCAATAACATTTTTCTCTACATTGGCTACTATGGAATTTGAGCATAACTTTCATTTATCGTCATTTTCATGGATGTAGTTTGAATTCTCAATTTGCTCCTAGTCTTTAACTTTCTTTCCTATGCTTATGCTTCTATTTCCTGTATTTCCATTTTGTTATGCTCTATATATCTTTGTAATCCACTTTAAGTGTTTTCTGGGTCAAAACAGAGTTATAAATACTGAGACAGTTTTGTGTCCTATCATCCATGCTCATGAAATTGTATGATAAATAGAATTATCACACATGAAATAAAGAACTTCATTTAAAAAAATTTTTTTATTTATTTATGTGTGTGTGTGTGTGTGTGTGTGTGTGTGTGTGTGTGCGGGTGGCCAGCTCAGCCCACCAGGGGGC